TGCTGTTGGATATTTGCAACTCACCAAATTCATATTTAATATGACAATAACCGTAAAGTTAAACATGCCTTGGCTGATGAAGAAAAAGGGCCATTGGTTCCCTTGGCCCCCTCCCTCCCCACCCTTTATTTGTGGGTTCTGGACTTTGTGAGGGCCATATGATATAATATCTGCCCACAGGGACTAGCATCTAACCAATCAGCAGGCATCATCCAGTTCATAAAAAATGTTTCACAATAACATGACTTAAAATAATTCATACTTTCATATTTTAATTTATATATTTTATAGTATTAAAAATTTATTATCCAATCTCCAATGACATTTTATCACCTGTAATGAATCACTATATATGAGTCATAATAAACTGTAATATTATCAAAACTATGAATAATGAAAACAGCGATGCAGCCAACATTTATCGGTACATCAAAGAAAAGTAAATCTAAATTACAAAAGGAAAAAAACAACTTAGACCAATGACAAATGGAATATCTGTAGCATTCTAAGTTGAATTAAAGATCACCATCATGTAACATACCCAAGTTAATTATGGTAACAGCCTCCAAATGGTGAAGATAATTCCACTGAATTACTGAAGTGACAATGGGAGCAACTTTTGAATGCTGTACAACCTCTCAAGTGAAACCAGCAAGCATACGAATTACTGCTGTTTGTGACTTAGGGTCTTGATCCCCTTACCCTAAAAGAAGCCTGTTATTTTTTATCGCAGGGCATCAAACCGACTTGCTGACTGTTATCATCGCTTACTGGCAGTATAAAAGCCTTATATCCAGGTATACTTAAAGTTTTACTTTGTCTACCTCTGTCTCTCTGTTTGCAGCTATTTGTAGTTATAATCTGGGCATGAAACAGTTACTTAACTCTCCTAACTTACCCAGTCCTTTGGTGTTATGAATCAGATTCCTCTTCCCCCTTCAGTGCAGGAAAGGCACTATAAAACCATTTAACACATTGAGGAAGTAATTATCTTCCAGTACACTGAAGGTGTGAAGGCAGCTTCCCCAAGTGACATACAATGCCATGAATGTTTAAGCTCTAGAATAACCTCCACTTCATCTTCCAGTTAAAAATGAAGGAATAATGTCCATTTCAGAATTAAGCAAATTAGGGACATACCTCTAGATTGAAATAGAAAAAAACATTAGATTACACAGCATTCTCAAAATACTTTAATATTTCAAAGCAGTAATTTGAGGCATTGGACTTAACAAATGATCAGCATCATCCAGGGTATGAAAATTCTCTATTTAAATCAACCCCTGGTCAACAGCAAAGAAATACTCAGTCTGAAAACTGGCAATAATTAGACTTTTTAAAATTAAGTGAATTTAAAAGTTTTAAATTAATTACTTTCCCATTTCGTATAGAAAAGAAAACTGCAATTCTGACTTAACATAGACAATCCAAATACTCAAGGTCATACAATTGCTAAAGTTTTATAAAACTGAGTTTGGTAGTAGTTTCTTTAAATTCAAATTATATCAGAACTACTCACAGAATCAGTTTTGGTTTATTCGGTTTGTAAATGCAGCAATATCCTTTTTTTTCTTCTTCCCCTCTTGGATGAATGCCAGCTGCTCCTACTTTCTGCTTACCTTCTCTTATGCTTTCTCCATCTCTACCCTGCTCCTCTATCTCCCTCCAAAAGCAGTATAGGTAAGAATTAAGATAAATGGACACTCGCCATCCAATTTAGAATCTTCCATATAAAAGAGTAAGACATGAAATGCAGCACCTCCTTATATAATAACGGAGGTTGGGGGAGGGAATGTACTTTAGTCAAAACAGTTTATTTTATTGTGAACAATCACTAGTTTTAAAACTTCCTTTCTTCAAATATCTATAACAAACAGAGTATTTTTCCAACTGAAAGCCTACTTTTACTTGAAGCACAAAAAACTGCACAGCCAGTCACTCACACACACACACACATATATACATTCTCTATATACTTGAATGGGTTATCACAATTTCTAATGTAGCAGAGAAACTGAATGTGGTTTTACTTTCTAATCTTCACATCAAATCAAATAAGCACGTGTTAAATTCTGCTGTGAGGATAGTGTTACATAATGTTTCCTGTTGGCATCTCCAAACACTTCCCAATATCTAACACAGTGTTACTAACTCTAATTTAGAGCTAAAATCTCTAAATTGGAAGGTCTATTTATTATGAACATGAAAAAGAATGCAGCAGCAAAAGATACCTTTCCCAGCACAAAGTTTTCCCTTTTCTATTTTTCCTTTCCTTTGAGTCCTTAACTAAATAAAAGGCTCTCATTTTATACTTTTCAATGCCCTTGATCCCTACCCAGTAAGTGTTGGAAGGCAGTTGGACAATCAACTTACTATCTTTCTGAATCTGATACAAAATACCCAAGTACGGAGAGGCTTATAGTAAATTCAACCTCCAAAGCAAATTGTTTCAAATAAATGTACACACAGTATGCTTTTCCACAACCAGAAACACATATTTTGGATATCAGCTGTTCTCATTTTCACGTTACCATTTCCACTGTTTCACAGACAATGGAAATGAAGATGCTTTCTATAGTAATACATTGCATTCAAAAGGAGAAGCAGTCTTCTGCTTCACCTTTTAAAATAAGAGAATCTAAGGCCCAATTCTAGAAAAGAACCTTCTGTCAAAAATTTGCTTTCCTGCATTAAGGAAAATAAAATTTGACCAAAAATGTATACTAATCATTTTTTATTCTATACATAATTACCATTCTTTAAAAGTTGTAGGGCTATATTTTTATTTCCCAGTCAAACTCAGTAACAACAACAACAAAAAAAAACAAGAACCGGGACCTCAACTAATAAATTACATCGTGAAATATAAATGATCTTGTAGTACCCATGTAACTTCCAATGGTAACTGACACGCCCAGAATTTAACTGTACCAGACAGTTCTATCTGTCCCATCGCTGACCAAACACTGCTTCTCTGTTTCTATTCATTATGTATTATAAGAGGTCTAAACACAGCCCAGTATGCGAGAAAAAAAATTACAATTCTTATGACAGCAAAGTGATGCATTCAAGTTCTCTCTTGCAGTATATCCCCGTATATGAGCATTAACAGGCATTTTTTTTTTTGATAGAGCTAAAATACGCTGGTTGCAAGCTCATTACTCTAAGAACCTTCGGCATCCTTTCTTGCAGGTTTTCAGAAAACCACAGTAAAAACCAGGCACCATTCAAACCTCGCGAACCAAACTTGCCAAGAACCTTGTGCAATGATCAATAACCTTGGCTACACCGCCATCGGTCCGAAATTCACGGTCCTGGAGACCAATGCAGCAAAATCCCAGACGAAAGGCTAGCTGAAACCCGACAGAACTGCCGCGCTTCCCCTCCGCCGCCCTCTCTGCCGCATGGAGAAATGCAAAGGGAGGAGACGAGTGGAGCTAGGCTCACCAGCTCCGAAGATGCTCCGGTGACCTCTGGCAGCGCGGCGAGAGCTGGGCCGGGAAGGCGCTAGTTCTGCCGCGGCGGGCCGTGTGGACTATGCCCCTGGTGCATTCCTCGCATTCCTGCACGATCTGTTGCCAGCCGAGGAGCCTGCGGTGCGCGTCCCCCGCGGACACACACACCTGCTTATTGCTGCGCCCCGCGAGGCCACGGCCGCGGCGGCGCCTCCACTGCCCGCGCTCTCTGTTTGTCGCACTCAGCCAACACGCAGCCAAATCTCGGCCCAGCCGCTCACCCCCTCGCTTCCCGGGTAGGGGGAAAAGGAGAGAGTCCTGGGCAGCCCCAGCGGCGGGCAGGGACACCCAATTCGCCTGGGGAGTGCCGCAGCTCCTCTTCAACTCCTGGCAGGGAGAGAAGGAAGCGGCAGCGCAAGAGGGCGGCCAGGGAAGCTTGGGGCTGGAGAGCCAGTGGGGTGGAGTGTGAGGATACGCGGCGAGGAGAGGGGCGCACTGGACAGAGGAGGATGGGCACGACCGGCACCAAGCGCGGGACTCAGAGGGCAAACGCAAGACAGTATAGACAGAAGGAACGTGGGAGGAAGGGGAGGGGGCCAAGATGCAGGAGTTGGGACTGGAGGGACGGACGGACAGCCCGGAGGGCTGGGGAAGGCGGGCGCCAAGTGGTGTTGGGGGCGCGAGGCTGCGTGCCAAGGCGGGCAGAAGCAGGGAAGCCTCCGAGCAGACCTCCAGGAGGGATCGGAGTGGCGCCTAAGTTTGGGGCTGGGGGCCCTGGATCCGAAAAGGCCAACGTGGGGAGGGGTCGTGCGCGGCATGTAGGAGAGACCCGGGGAGAGTAATCGTCGGGAAAAGCAAATGGAGGGTGAAACTTGTGCGCCTGCCGGGGGGAGGGGAGCAGGCAGGCGAGTGCGGGCAGGAACACGAGGCGGGGCAGGAAAGCCGAGGCGGCCGCGAGGCGGTGGGGACCGGGTAACGGGAGAGAGGCGCCTGTCCCCCACCCCTCACCCCTGACCCCCCTCACAGGCATGTCCCGGCTCCGGCCCGAGGGGGTGAGGGCCCGGGGTCTCGAGGGCAGGAGTCTCCGCGCCCTCCCGCTAGCCCGCATACTTACTTTCCAGGTTAGGCAGCGGCCGTCGTCGCTCCGGGGATCAGGAACATAGGCGCCGAGGGGTCGCCGCTGCGACACCCGAAAAAATTAAAAAAGTGCCGCGGCCGAGCAGCTGCCCGCCCCTCCCTCCCCCACCCGCCCCCTACCCCGAAGCGGCTCTCCCACCACCCCCGGCGGCGGCGGTGGCCAACTTGCCCCTCTACCCCTTGCCCATGGTGCCGCCTCCGCGGCCGGCGTCAACGCGGACTCAGCCCCGGAGCCCCCTCTACTGCCCAGAGGCCGCCGCCGCCGCCCGCCGCCCGCCCAGCCGCCAGCCCTCCTGCCCAGTCAGCCCCGGGCTCCCAGGAACGTCAGCACGCCGCCGTCTCCGGACCTGCTCCCTGACAACCCCATTGGTCGAAGGGAGAAGGCTGGCCCTCCCCATTGGCCCGGCCCTCATATTGAACGGACCAATGGGAACTGAGGTTTCAGGTCGCCATAGAGACCGATGCTGTTAAGCGGGAGAGGGCCTGAAGAAGGTGGGGAATGAGGTAGAAGGTATCGCTGGCTTTGGGAGCGGGAGGGGTGGGGAAAAGAACTACTAGGGGATTCCCGAGTGCTGGCTCTGAAATCTGAGGCAGCTTTTGCTCTGCCTTCCTGTCAACCCCAGCTATGCATGATAGGGTTTGTTCCTCGCGTCAAAGGCAGAACAGCTGAGCCCTTATTCGAATCCTTCAGAGCTTGGGAGTGGGCGTTTCACTTTTCCTGCGACTGAGGAGTCCCTGAGCCTCTGCCCTTTGACCTCTGACATGTGTGCAGCTTCTGCTTCTTCAGGTGAGTTTACACCCATCCCTTAAATCATTGCTTCTTCCTGACGTTAGTGATCCATATGAATTCTGCTTATTCTTCTCAACCACTCCCCCTTCCCTGAGGCGAATTTTGCCTCAAAAATTTGAGTCTAAAGACTTAAAGGAGACTCAAAGACGATTTCCTTCGGATGATATTTTAGTGGGGAAACAGGTTAACGTATTGTTTGATGATGTCATCGAGTCAGTTCATAAGATAACGTGTTTCCTGCTTCCCAAAGCAAACCTCTAGTCTCTCCATTGAGGGATTTATTAAACAGCCATCTGTGTGTGCATTCTGCGCTGTGATTTTGGCAGGTACATGTTCTTTCCCCTAAGAGTTTACAAGGTGGTAGAGCTGATCCTTCATGTCTCCTGGGACTTCAGAAGAGCGTAAAGGAAATAGATCACAGTTGAAGGATTTTGTTTTCTGGATATTTTCTAATTTATCTCTAAATCTGATAAAGAAATGAACTGAGGCATGGAATCAGTACACGCAGAAATCTTGAGCTTTAATTACAAGTGCTTTGCTTTCATTTGAAGTCACTTTGTGCTAGTTTGTTAGTACCAATTTTTTGTAAATAACTTTCGTATTTAGATAATAGCTATTAAAGCAGGACTTCATGAAAATATTCAGCTTTTAAACCTTATATTGCTCTTATGATATAGCCACTGATACTCTTTGTTCCTTCTTTTTGGTAATTTTGCCATCTTTATGCTAATCCCTTTAGTAGGAAGACTGTTTTTATGTTACTGCCCTTCGAGTTGGAGGAACCATATTGTGTGAAAAAGTTAATAGGATTTTGGAAATTAGAAGTATTTTTTGAAGAAAAAATTAATGCGTGTGCAAGCTACATATGTCTAGCTACTATGTCCTGAATTTTGAGTTGGATAATATTTGCTATTGATTTTTACCTTACTGTAATTGAAAATTACAAAAATAAGAATTGTTAATATGGTATCTTGATTAGAAAAACATCTCTACAATTTGTGGTAACTTTTGAACTTAGTTGATAATTCTGTGCAGGGTTGGACTGTGGAACAAAATGGCTGAACAAATGAGTGTTCCCCCTAAATACTTCCATAACTGGGGAGAAATCATCAGGGGCCCTGGAGTGCTGTTTCATGCCTTGCCATCATGGAAATTAGCTCATCATGCTTTCAATTTCTGCCCTCTTTCTCTCCTTTGTGTTTGTTTATAGGAGAATAGAAAAGGTAAAATGCAAATTTTTGTAAATAAGACTCATTTTTAATGTACTCACAAAATACAGTTTTAAAAAAAATTTGTAACAATAATAAATGGAAAATGTGCCCAATGTAAAGTAAAACATTGATACTTCTTTTTTCTTGTCTTAGGCTAGCATGGTAAGAACAAGAACTAATTGATTTTTTTTTTACCCAGGAATCTTTTCTTTTTGCATTTTTCTCAGATCACGATTGAGGAGTATTTTAACATTGTGTATTTCATGTTTGTAATGATTAAAATGTTACTAAGATCCACTAAGAATAATGTCCTTTAAAAGTCATTCAATATTATTATTATTATTATTATTATTATTATTATTATTGTAATTCCTATATTCCGTTGAAACGTTTCTTTTGAACTTGCTCCTGCACAACTCTAAGCGTTGCTGGATAAAGAAGTCACTTTGTTCCACTAGAAGTTTATGCTGTCCAGGCTTGGCTAGGTCTTCACTGATTCTCTAAATTCCTTTCTTCCTCAGGAGGGTGATTATCCAGAACACTTATCCAAGGACACTATTGATGGCACTTCTCCCAAATCTGTCCTGTTTCTGCTCTCTTCCAGCCTTCGCTGTACTTGGTCTTCTTCCTATTTTGCAAATGATCTTGCCTACCCAACTGAGGCATCCACCATAAGGTTTCTCAACTTAACTTTCCTAAACCTCAGTCTCACTTTTCACACTTCATCACTTCCTTCAGTCCTGGCTGAGAAGGGTGCCAGCCTTCTGTTCTAAGCTCACACTCCACTTGTGCTCCTAAACACTGGCCATCCTCCCACCCCAGAATTTTCCTCTGTTGATTATAATTGCTCTTTTAGATCATGTGTTACGTCCTTTCCTCCAAATTTTTTTTCCTACATCTTACAAATATCTGACCTTTGGCAAAAACCACCTTCCTTCTATTCTAACTCCATCTCCATCCATTGGCTTTTCTTTTCACCAAGAGACAATATGAAAGGAATTTCTTGAGGTTTCTATTTTTTCACCTCCAATGTTCTGGCCCTTAAATACAAATGAAATGAATCTGAGGCTCTTTCTCCTCAAAATTCTAACTCATTTTGCCAATAAAATTCTCCTCTACCAAAGTGCCCTTTACCCATAAATTTCAATGCCTCCATTCCAGATTTCCTGAGGAGGGTAGAAACCATTGTCTCCCACCTAGAGGGTCCATAGAAATGCAAATGACTTACTTGAGAAAAGGAAGCATTTAACTTGCTAACCATACCACCTTGGTGAGTGTAACTCCTGGGAAAAAGAGGAAGAAGGGCCTCTGCTTCAGCGGACCGTGGGTCCTAGGACAAGGATAGTAAATTTGATGAACACCATCCTCCAGCACAAAACTAAACTGCAGAAATCCAAGGGACCTTTTAAATGACCAACTCAGAAATAAGTCAACCTGAACCTTTCATGATTATGAAAACTTTGTAACTTTCCAATGTTTGTCATTTTCATCTTAGTCCACAATGACTAACAGTAAATTCCTCATAAGGAATAGCAGAGGTAGCAAGGAAAAGGGAGAAGCAGGAACACTGTCTCTTTTGCCATTCTTGAATGCCCATGGAGAAAGCAGGTGCAGTGAAGATAAGAATTTCACAAAGCACACTAACTGATAGTGTGTGGAGGCCAGAGGAGGTGGGGAAGGCGTTGTTTTTGTTTGTTTGTTTGTGTGTTCGTTTTAAAGGAATGTTAAGACAGAGGCAGGTGGCAAATGAGGGAAAGACAGCAATGGAATAAATTTGTCCTGAGAGAGCATGCTAGGGATTAATAATTGTTCTACTCAGGATTGCTGAATTGGCTGTATCCCATCTCCAGCCCATTCTCTGAATATGCAAATCCTCCCCTGCCTTTAGAGGCAAAGCCAAATAGTTACCTGTAAAGACTTTTCTGAAAATTTCCTGATCCTTCCTCTGAAGAGGATGATTTCTGCTTTAGCGTATTTTTGTGGACTTAACACTTTCCACCCCTGTGGTATAGCTATTTGTATCTGAGCCTTCTCTCCTAGAGGATCAGGTACATGTCATGGTCCTGACTGTAGCCTCCATAGTGCCTTGGAGCACTCAAGGGCCTTACACACTAAGAAAAGCCAACATTTATTAATCCTTCTTTTAGTCTTTGGAAGAATTTGACTTCTAACAATGAAAAATTGGAATCAGTAATGTTGGGAGATAATTGGAAAAAGATGGGACTAGAGGCTCAGTGTGGAAAGTGAGGTAATGTATGGCAGAGCAGAGGAGAGGTTTCTGCCAGGTAGCCTCCTAAGAGAAAGGCCTCAGATCTCCTCTCTAGCAGGACCCATCTCTACTCCTCGGAGGAAGGGGACGTAGGTGAGAAGAACTGGCTGCATGTGCTTTCGCATGAAGTTATCAATTCAGAAGTAATGCCATAAAATTCAGTATATTGGGGAAAGCATTTGAAACTCAGTTTTGTCAAGCAGTTTAAGTAAGGGTTGCCTACATTTTTTCCATCTGAAGCATCCAGGTTGCTCTTTCTTTTGGAACATGGTAGAATCATGCAGATTTAACCATTTCATAAAATCAGAAAGGCATCAAACATCTGGTAGGTACATGTTTCTAAGTACTTGTATCCATAGCCCTTGAAGTAAGCAGTCCTGCATGCCTCATGACCTTGCATCTGGCCATGGACTCAGCCCTGGTGGGGACCTGATTCAAAAGTAGTCAATCCATTGGCTGACCGTTGACCCATAACCTGTGATACTGCCAATCAGATTTTTTCCCCTGGAAATTTGGAATTGAGAGAACAAGTGAGCCAGAGAAAACACTGCCTTGGTCCTCATGTTTTCTGGGTTCTTATTCTACCCATGATGACAGAATATCCTTCATTTTTTATTGTTCCATGAGATTTTTTTAATTAAATATATTTGACATATAATATTGTGTTAATTTAAGGTATACAATGTGTTACTCTGATACATTTATGTATTGTAATACATTTGCCATTGCAGCAATAGTTATCACATTACATAATTATAGTACAATATTGCTGTCTGTTTTAATTATGCTGTATGTTAGAGCTCTATGGCTTATTTGCCACCTGTTGCAAATTTATAGCCTTAAACAAAAACATCAGTCATATTTCTCTACCCCTCCCTTTGTAACCACCATTTGACCCTGATTTTCACGTTTGACCTTTTTACATCCCACATGTAAGTGACATCATATAGTACTCGTCTTTCTTTCTCTGACTTATCTCACTTAGCAAAATGTGTTCAAGGCCCATCTGTGATATTACAAATGGCAGGCTGTCTACCTTTCTCATGGTTGAATAATATCTCATTGTATGTATATACAACATCTTTTTTATCCATTCATCTGCTGGTGGACTTTCAGGTTATTTCCAGATCTTGGCTATTGGGAATAATGCTGCAGCAAACATGGGAGTGCAGATATCCCTCTCTTCAAGAGATCCATTACAGGGGGAGGGTATAGCTCAAGTGGTAGAGCACACACTTAGCATGCACAAGGTTATGGGTTCAATCCCCAGTACCTCCTCCGAAAAATAAATAAATAAACTTAATTACCTACCCCCAAAAAGTTTTTTTAAAAATGATCCATTACTTGTATTCACCTCTAACCCATCCTTTCCCTGGTTTGCCTTTAGGGAGTCTTTGTTCCTTACAATCAAAAGGTTACACTAAAATAGTATGCAATTATTTCCAATAAAACAAAACATATATTATGACCATTTTATTGGTCTATGAAGAGCAACAGTCTAAAAATTTCTAAAGAGC